ATCTTCCGCATGTATTCCGCCTGCTTTCCCAACCCTTCCGCTCGTTGGCCCCCAGTGTCCGCTTGTCCCAAGAGGTGGACGAGAACTCTGCTGTAGTGTGTGCGTGGGCTTGGAGGGCTGTGCTTCAGATTCTTTTCTTTCTTTTCTTTAAAAAAAAAAAAAAAAAAAAGGTAAGCTATATTCTTCTCTCATCTATCTCATCTTCTTGCCAGTACTCATATATCCCATCCTCACGCTAGTCTATGTATAGTACAGGGGAACACCAACCAACCGGGATCTCTCCCTAGCCCACGGGGTAGGTTGGCACCACAGCAGTGGTGCAAGAGCAAGGCTGTACCAGTCCCTCATCACGGTGATGAGGGGTCTGCAGGCATTGACAATGGGGGATATAGGCGGTGCTACCGATCAATGGCCAGTCACTGCACCACCCCCTACCCCCCCAACCCTACATGGCGGTGTCTAATGGCCGATATTGTTGCTGCCTAGCAATCAACAACATCAGCCAAGGTCCTGCCAATTGGGGGCCAACGGGTTATCTCTAGCTGGTAGAACATCAAGCTTGCCCAGGCACGTACGTGAGGCCAGTGGGGATTGAACCCACGGCCTCGTGAATGCAACTTCTGTGCCTTACCTGATTAGTACGTGCTTGTGCGTTATGTCAAGTGCTCGACTCCAGTGCTGTCGATGTACCTGGTCCGAAACCGAGTTAGGATGCACTCCGAGTCATATTCTTTGTGTTCCGTGCTGGACTCCACAGCGCAGTGGATGTATCTGGTCCGGAAACTAGTTCGGATGCGAAGAAATGTAAGGCCTGCTGCCCACGGTCATTTGTGGATGCGTCCACGGTCGTGCAGACAGCTTGGAGATGTCCACGGTCGTGCAGACAGCTTGGAGATGTCCACGGTCGTGCAGACAGCTTGGAGATGGGGGAGACGAACACTCGCCATGCATCTGGGACTGGGAAGAAAACCGATAACTAATCATGGGGTTGCCTTTCCATGCCCAGCCGCGCGTCTGAACTGTCGATAAGCGGCGCAGCGGATGCTCCATGGCCAGCTGCTCCTGCAAATCGCTGCTTACATGGGCGCCATCGCCATGCTGCAGTGACAACAAGGCGGTCTCAAAGTGCACGTGCTGCAGTTTCTGACCGCAGCAGCTGTGCCATGGCTTTCTTCTGTTCCAGCTATTTGTTTTTGTTTTTTTGTTTTTTTTGTTTCCCCCCCCCCCCCTCGATTTATGCGTGTCATCCGTTAAAATTGGAACGATACAGAGAAGATTAGTATGGCCCCTATTTGTTTTTTTTGTGTGCCCTATAACTCGTTTTTTTTACGCCCCCGTAGTTACCCCTGTTTTTTTTTTTTTAAATTTATCTCTTCCTTCTTGAAGTGATATTCATGTATATTCCCCCTGTCATCGTCCAAATACGTCCGCATTTCCAAGTTACTGTACTCTATACACGCCGTGCAAGATGGGTGGCGACCACGAGAGAGCGGAATTCCCATTGTCCGTGCTCGTCACCCATCTTGCACAGAAAATGCAGATGTATCGGGACTGGTATATGGGCAATGTACATCGCATTTGGGAACACATCCATGTCAAGCGTGATCAAACAGATAAGCCACCGCTCTGCTTTCCTTGGCATGTGCAGATTGTGTCCTGGCGGAGGCATGCGTCTCCGTCCAGACCGTGGATGCAAGACATTTTTTTTTTTTTTTTGCCTACTACCATCAGCTCTTACGAGCAAGACAGCCCGTTGGCATGGCTCGTGCTGGAGGGTTGAATCAGCTTGAATGGGCAGGCCAGTCATGAAGCTGAAGGATTGGCTGCTGCGGGGATGAACGGGCAGACAGCGTAGTGGAGGTGTTGCTGTCAGGAAGCATGCTGCAGGGATAGAAATGGCACGGCACTTCAGATGTCGACGGGGGTGATATGTGGCTTCAAGTTTGACGTGTGGAGGGGTAGTAGAGGGTTGCATGGAGATGACGGGATTCACCATCACGATCTCTTTTTTTTTTTTTTTTTTTTTTTTTCCTTTCCTTGCCAATATTATAGAAAGCATCGTGGGGAGTCGAAGGGCAGTGGGAAGCTCTTTGCATCAGCGTATTCCGTGGGAAGCTCGTTTCATCAGTGTTCATCAGTGGGAAGCTCGATGCATCAGTGGGAAGGTCGTTGCATCAGTGGATTCAGCAGTAGACGCTTCCTGGCAGTGAGATGGTCGTTGCATCAGCGGTTTCCGTGCGGATTCTTCACGCCTCCGAAGCTGTAGCTTGTTGCTCTATTAGTGCAGATCTCTCTCTCTCTCTCTCTCTCTCTCTCTCTCTCTCTCTCTCTCTCTCTCTCNTCTCTCTCTCTCTCGCTCTGTGTGTCCCGGGGGAGGCTTGAAAGCAGTAGGGAGCTTGTTGCCTGAGTGCGATTCTTAACGCAGATGAAGCTGTATCTTGTTGCTTCATGGCAACAGTGAAGTAGGAGGAAGTGATTCGAGTGCTGACGCACGTGCACTCAGAGTAGATTACGGTGATCTGGCATGGCGGGTATGGATGGCGGTTCTCTCTTTCCTAAAGTCGGCTCCATCGGGTGTACATGCACCAGCGGGCAAGCTCTATTGGCAAAAACTGTGCAAGGAGCTGCATCTGAAGCCTTTGACGTTTTTTTTTTTTTTTTTTTTTTTTTTTGGTATTCTTTAGTAAAAGGCGAAAGAATAGTACGCCAAGTGAGCTGGGCACGCAGCTGAATGAAGCCTTTCACTTTGGTGCCAAGCGGCCGCAATTCCAGAGGCACAAAAAAAAAAAAAAGCACAGCTGCAGAATTGCGGTTGGTATCGTGTGACTGCCCAATTCCCATTTCCCTCCCAAAATCGTGTGGCGGCCTCAGCCGTGTCTTTTCCGGATTGGGGACACGGTGTGACCTGCGCCACCACTAAACCCCCAAAACCCCAAATTGGGCCTACGCTATTTCTCATAAATAAATTGGGGATTTGGTATCGCAGTGTAAGCATGCCGTCAGGCCAGGGGCAAGGTCCCACTTGCGCAAATTAGGAGATTTCGGCCGTCGATCTTTGGTATCTACGGTCAGTATTTCTTAATTCGTGCAAGTGGGACCTAGCCCCAGGCCTGCGTGCACCCGCGGGGCCGTGACCCACTAGAGGGGGTTTAGTTTATGTTTCGTGTATTTGCCAACGTGGTCACACTTCACTAGTAGGGCCGTCAGATATTCAGATCGGACGGCAGGGAGCCATGTAAGCTCGAAACCAGGGCAAAACCTTGAGAAGTGGGACATGGCCGCCGGCCACAGACATGAACGAAGAGATTGGTTGTTGGTTAAATAAATAAAAAAAGGAGGAAAGTGATTTGTCGAATGCATCTGCCTCAGAAAGTGGCACTATGCATCCATTGCTGCTATTCATAGCACGGATGCATCTTTCCCTTCGTCACGGGAAGATGCATTCGTTCGGTTTTCGTTTCGACAGTGGTGTGGCTAGGCCCTAACATTGCAACAGACCCCGGTGGCCGTATGCGCCCGGTCACCCCTGGCCGTCGATCTTTGTAGGGTGCCATACTGAACGACTACGTAGATAACAATTTCTTTCCTAAACTAGAAACAAGACAAGGACCTCCCACTCTCCGCACAGCACGACCGCACGACCCTCTACCACGACCGCAACCACACTACCCGCATGACCGGTCGGTCCCCTTTCACCGACAGCAACCCTTTATTGCATGCAACGACGCCGGACATTCCCGAAAAAGCAAGTCTCGCTAAACGACAAAACGACATCCACGTGTACGCAGCCGTCCTGGCCGCAGAAACGTCCACATTCAGGATGTTAATCCAATCCTGTTTGCTTTTTTCTTTGTGTTTTTTTTTTTGGGTCCGCCCCTGGTGAGCGCCGGCCGCGCCAAAGTGCATCGCCACACCACTCTTGAAATGTGCAAAATGAGAATGAACTCCGCGCTAGAACATGGCCAGATGCATCCGCCACTTTTTTATTTTCTTCGCATTTCGAGAGTGGTGTGGCGAGGCCCAGATTTGCGTGCGATGGCGGTACGCGCCAAAGAGCCCGCCGAGGATGCCAATGCCACATCGGCAGGCCCGAAAAAAAGTGCGCGAAAAGGCCGCACGCATTTGGCGATTGGCGACAGGGACGCCGGCGCGAAGACTCGAGATGCATTGGGCGGCGCGGGTGTGCGGCAGAAGAAAGCGGTCGATGTAGCATGGCCGGCGAAAAGTGGGACCGGTCGGGCTGGGATTGGGCCGGGGCCGACCGGTCCGGGAGTGGCGGACCGCCGCGCCGGCCATCGGCCCGCCCGCCCACCCGCGAGCCAATAGTGAAAATGAAAATTAAAGAAAAGAGTCGTCCCGCGCTGCGAGATGGATGAGGTTAGTCCTCTTCGGGCATGGGAGATTTTGGGACTCTTAGGGAACGTATGAGATCGCAATCACAGCCCAATTCGTTCTCAGATGTCAACGTATGAGATCGCAATCACCGCCCCATTCGCTCCGAGATGTCCTACCACTTCGAAGGTTTGGACCGTTGGCGCTCACCGTCTCTGGCTTCTGCCGGGGCAAGGTCCCACTTGCACGGATTACGAGATTCTGACCGTTGATCTGTGCTATCTACGGTCAATATCTCTTAATTCGTGTAAGTGGGACCTAGCCCCCGAGTACTGTTTTCAATGCCATGTTCGCCGCCTGTTTTCTTGCTCCTTACATCGTTCAGAAGATGATTTCGGTGTCTTGTTGGCTTCGCTCTAGGGCAAAGGTTTAGTAAAAAAGGGCGGTAATTCGGTCCGAGAGAAGGGCAGAGAGAGAGAGAGAGAGAGAGAGAGAGAGAGAGAGAGAGAGAGAGATTGAACTGAGGAGGGTCAGCTGTTCAGTGCAGCCGGCGGGTTCCCTCCCCCCCAGTCTCGACTTCCTCGTCGTGGCAGTGGGCATCGACGTTCATTTTCTGTCTATATTATACTGCAACTGCTAGCTTTTACTTACCGTCTATCGGAGGAAGAGGGCTGGCACAGTATAGGCCCTCGTTTTATTTTGTATTCTTTCTACTTCAATAAATAAAGAATGCCCGCTGCCCTCCGCGGCAGGAGAGTCGAGTGCATGAAGTGCTTCAGGCTGCACTGCCCAACAACGAAATTCAGGAGGACACTGCGTGCTGCGTTGGCTTGAAGAAGATTATGTGTTATGTATATAACCAAAGGTAGACGACATAAACCAGTTCTAACGCACGCTCATAGATGTCCTGTCGCACGGCGAAAGTGTGCGGCACCGGCAGAAAAGAAGGGGAAAAGGTAGATTTGCCTTGAGACTGACGATACGGCACGGAACGATGGCGATGGCGGCGGTCCCCGGGAGGGCGATGGATGCCGTCGCGGCTTCCATCTCTGGTGGAACCGATGTCTTCCCCTCGCCTCCCTCCGGCGACGTGTTTGGTAGAGATCGAGGTACGGCCAACTTTTCTTCTCTCTCTCTCTCTCTGTCTGTCTCTTGCCTGCCTTCTGTTTCCCTATGATCTCCGGCATGGCCCACGTTCACATAACATGCTTCCCATCAACACACACATCTCTCTCTCTCTCTCTCTCTCTCTCTCTCTTTCTCTCTCTCTCTCTCTCTCTCTCTCTCTCTCTCTCTCTCTCTCTGTGCCCATCCCTTATTCTCCCTTTACCTCTCCTCTCCTCTCTCTTTCACACACAGCAACACGCACAACAACACGCACAACAACACAGACACAGCAACACAATCTCTTTCTCTGTCTTTCACACACAATAACACACAGCAACACACAGCAACACACAACAAAACACAACAAAACACAACAAAACACAACAAAACACACTAAGACGCACAGAGGCATGCACATACGTAAGGACAGATAAATATCTGCAGAGCCAAGCAGGCTGACTATAGACTTGCATTTCCTATCGTGTTGGCTTTTCTGAAGATCTTGTGCAGATCTCTACTGTGCTGGTGATGGGGCGGTCAAGGGAAGAGCGTTTCGTTCGCGCTCGGGTAATGGGGGGGGTTGGGGGGGCAGCGGCGGGGRAACGGCAAATGGGGSAAAGSAGGGGGGRAGGGKGGGGCGTTCAAGGCTGGGTCGAGATGGTGGATTATCGATTGAACTGGAAAGAGAGGGGAAGAAGGGCAGGACAAGGGTGGGAGATGTATGACGAGAGCACAGACAGGAGGCGATTAATATCGACGAGCGTGAAATGCTAACTCTTGTATTGCTGCATATTATTTGCTTGTGAAATCGGACCCCCCCTCTTCAAGCCATGCCGGGTCCACCGTCGCCGCCATCGCCGTCGTGGGCGACACGTCGTGCACACGGAAGTGCTGTGCGCATTAGCACAGATGCGCGGAGGGCCAGTCCTTGTGTGTGTGTCTTTTCTTCGAGAGGGAGCGATGCGTTGAGCGGTGGGGGGAATGCCGGGGAGGGGGGCGGCGTATGCGCCACCGCCCATGTATCGACCCCCCGGGAGGCGGGAAGAAGCTGCTGCCTGGCCGCGCCGGCTGCAAGAAGGTCAGTGGACCCTTTTCTCCTTTCCTTCTTATTCTGTCCTTCTCGAAGTCAACGGAATTACGACCCAAACAAAAAAAAAAAAGAAAAAAGGAAAAGAAAAAGAAAAGACTTAAAAAAGACGCAGTCACCCAAAAAAGTTCTCGATTGTATACGTTCATGATGAGGGTGCGTATGGGCGAGGGAGGACGGTGGTAAATGAACGTATGTTGAAAATTGCTAATGCTCCAAAAAATTATGGATCAACGAATCAAGCAGGGAATGAATGGATAAGGTCTTTTGTCGTTTTCTTCGAGACCTATAAGGCGGGGTATGCGAAACGGGAATGGTACTAGTAGTGGTGAGATAGAACTGCGCGCCATCTTGTGATCAGAAGCTGCCGACCAGGCACGTGATGGTTAATTGATCTCTTTATCTAATGAAAATGAATGAATGAATGAATGAATGAATGAATGAATGAATGAATGAACGAAGGAATTAAGTAATGAAATTAACTGCTTTAGGTAATGGTTCTAACGAATAATTAATTAATGAATTGAGTAAAGGCAAAGTAATTAGTTGATTAAAGATAACCGAGGATTAGAAGCTGCCGACCAGGCACGAGATGGTTAAGTAATCTCTTTATCGAATGAATGAATGAACGAACGAACGAATTAAGTAAGTAAATTAAATGATTAGGTAATGGTTATAACGTGAGTGAAGACTAGTAATTAATTTATTGAAGATAACCAATGATCAGAAGCTGCCGACCAGGCACGTGATGGTTAATCTCTTCTTTATCTAACGAGTAAATGAATGAATGAATGAATGAATGAATGAACGAACGAATTAAGTAATCAAGTTACTTGATTAGGTAATGGTTGTAAGTTATTATTCGTTATAACTGAGTAACGACAATTAGTTAATTGATTAAAGATAACCAATCAAGAGAATAACTTTTCGCGTCATCGTTAATCTTCTCGAAGCTGGGAAAATGTGTCAGAGGTTGTGTCCCCACCCCAGAGATCTGGAGGTGCGGAATTACTGTCCCGGGGAAAAAAATGAATCAAGAAATTATCAGTAATATAATAATATAATGAACGAATGAACGAGCAAATGAATCAATGAAAGAATTGGTGAGCAATACATCACGTAATAGAAGGTCAAAGAAATTGAGTTAAAAATTCCTATTCGCTGAGGGACAGGTTTGTCAACCTGTGTGCATTGGATTGTGAAACGTGTACGTATGTTTAGGGCCGACTCACACGACTTAGGAAAAATGCTCGGGCAAGAAGGATAGCTAGATAGGTAAGATAGATAAGATAGATAAATAGATAGATAAGGTATCTATATATATCTATAGATAGATAGATATATAGATAGATAGATAGATAGATAGATAGATAAATAGATAGATATTGCAGCGTTGATAGAAAGATGGAAAGGGAGGGATGGAGCAAGAGCGGAGAGTTGTGACAGACATTTTCGTTGGACTGTCAGCGACTCATCACCAGGAGGAACCCTGACGGTCTGCAGAATGCGCTACCGACGGTTCAAGCAATAAGCTGTCTCGACCCCCGTTGCAAGCAGGCACCAACGGCAACCCACACCTGTGAGAGAGAGAGAGAGAGAGAGAGCTGTCTCTTATACACATCTAGATGTGTATAAGAGACAGTTTTGGGACTCTTAGGGAACGTATGAGATCGCAATCACAGCCCAATTCGTTCTCAGATGTCAACGTATGAGATCGCAATCACCGCCCCATTCGCT